ATTGGTTCAAAACTATTTTTTCTCTCTGAAGTGTATATTTAGAGCTATAATATCTGAGGAAAAGTCAGTCAAAACATACAATATAATCGAAGTTGACATAAAACATTGACCTATTATCAGTTAGTTTTTCAGTTATTGCTTATGAAGTTACAGAAAATTTTTTTTTCTTCTAAATTTAAGTAAATTTTGTCTTATTTAAACAAAATTACAAACAAGAAGCTAGTTGAAAACCTTATTATTTTTTGTATTTCTGTATTTAATTGGTTGTTTTCTATTTTTTTGCCATAATTTGAGTTTTTGATTGGCTACAATTTTCTAAATGATGGAAAAGTTTTTATGGCTAATTTTATTACAAAATAAATAAAAAATAATAAAACAATTCGAGTTTTTAAGTTTCTTTGTTTATTTCAGTAAGAAAAATGTTTCTATCAAAAGCGTTTTCAATGTCTGAAATGGACACTCATCAGATTTTAAAATTGAACAACAGCTAAAAACTACAAGACTGGTGGACAGATGACGTCGATGGAGATTGTATTAGTTTTAACTTGTATAAAAACACAGAAAGTTCAATAATTTTGTTAAAACGATGGAGAGAAGATTACAAAAAAGAAGATTACTGCCAGATTTATCAACAATGTTTTTATTTAGAAGAGTTTACTCAGATTGAGTGGTCTATCAGTAAAAAACAGAAGAACGGAAGAGCCTATGAAACAAAAGTTGGAGACAAGGAACATTATTTCGATTACTGTTTTGAATTTGATACAAATACAAAGTATAGATTTGTCAGAATATTTTTTAATCGGTTATCCAACTTTGAAAGATTTCCATATGTTTATACTACAATATACCAAAAAGAAAACAAAAATGTATATCTTGGTATTTTTTTTCACTGGTTAGAAATAGAACTTAATATAAACAATAATATAAACCAGACAAGAAAACTAAATTATCTCACTTTGGTATCAAATTTGTATGTTAGTTTTGTCAGAAAAATTCAATAAAATGGACTGATTGGGAAGTTTCGTAAACAGTTTTTTTCTGATCTATTAATTTTTTTAAAATCTGTGAATACTTCATTCTGATTGGTTAATACCACAAATATTACTGTAAGGAATGCTCGATTCTGATTGTTTGATATTTAAAAATAATAAAAATCTCCTAATAAATAAAGCTAGATTCTGATTGGTTGATATAAAAAAAGATGAAAAATTTCCTTATAAGTAATTCTCGATTGTGATTGGTTGATATTAGAACTTCTGAAAACTCCATGGTTAGATTGGATGATTTTTTTCAACTTGACCAATTAGGATGTTATCCATTCTGATTTCTTTTTTCATGTTAAAAATTGATTGAAAACTTTGCTGCTTTTGTTTACTTGTATTCATTTTTGAGGCTATTCAGCTCTTCTTATCTAAAATTTTGGGACATTCCTAATTTCCCATTTTTTCTCTAGATTTTTCTCAAAGATGCAGTCACTGAATAGAAACGAAAGAATTGCATGTTTTGAATTTGGCAGAGAATACACATGTAAAGATGCGTCAAGACATCGAAAGCACTGTGACATTTCAAAGTGTTCTAATTGTAAGTTTTATACATATAGCAGCGAGGAACTTAGTAATCATATCAAAAAGAAGCATTCTTCTTGTCAACATAATATTAAATAATGTGCTCAGCAGTCTCAAAACACACTCCAAGAGAAGGTAAAGTTAATATTTTTTTTAATTAAAAACATAGAAATCACTATCAATAATAAGTTATACTAATCTGAAATACAGTTATGATAAATTTGAAAAACTATAGTAAAAAATATACAGTGTTTTCATCACAATACCTGATCTGTCAATTATTTTTTTAATCAAAGGTTTTGATTGATGATAAAGACAGCAAAAATCGATCCGAAAATCTTTAATCAACAGTAAAAACTTCATTGATTGCAAGCTTGCGGAGACTTTGTTGCGATAAGTTTGTAGTATAAGTGCATAACATACGCTAATGAGTGGTTAAGTATTTGCTTAAAATTTGTAAAAACTTGGATATTTATAAAACATCGACTAAATGAAAGGTTTTGTGGAGTTACTATTTTAGAGTTTTCCTGGTTTAGTGCTTGTAGAAGTGTTCATACAGTAGTGCGTTGTTAAGCAGATAATGGGAATTGATTTATTAAGAATTATGGTTGCCTACTGTTTTTTTTGTCGATTTCAGAAAAGATATTGATAACTGATCTTGAAAAGATTAAAAAATGTATCGTTTTGGTAACCTATACATCATTCTCAACCAAAATTTTACTTCATTATAGAAAATCAGATTTGAAACAGCAATATAAAGTTATCAGGTTAAGAAAATCATTTAAAGAATTAACAGAGGAATTATGGTTATAATTCTGTTTCGGATTATTGAACGTTCGTTGAAACGATTTATTTTTCCATCTAAAATTCAATTTTAAAGTAAATATTTGTTCAAATTGGGTTAAATTGTTAGATAGTAGTTGAAGCAGAAACTGAGAAATTGCTAAAATGAGAAAGAAACTCGTTTTAATTCATTAGGAGTTTTGAGATAATTTTACTAAAATTTAGCTTATAGAGTATATCTTGAGAAGAAATCCGACATAAAAAGTGTCAAAGATTTGTATTAGAAAAAATTGTTATAAATTGATAAAATAGGTAACTTCATATGAAAATGAAGTTACCAAAAACTTCAGATGTTTTGAGGATAATTTTTGTAAAGTAAACCCAATCCGACATCTTTTGCAAGAAGATACTTGAAGCATAAATCAAAAACTTGCTTTCAAGATCTACATTTCATTATTTTTACTTTAGAATTTTTGCTTAATAAAAATTCGAAAATTATACAATTGTTCGAGTTTGCACCTTGATTTCCTTTGCTAAATTATTTTTACGAGACGCGCTCTTTTAGAAGTTTTAAGATATTGTAGATGTTCGGAACTAGGTTCCCTTGCGTATTTCTACTTCCGAAGGTGTTCAGATCATAACTAATAGCGTTGCTCTTAATTTGATCTCAAATCGTAAAAATACACCTTTATATTCTAGTTTTTACATATGTTTTTGAGGCTTTAATTAGCACCGATTCTTTCTCACTTGAATATTTTTGAAAACTTCCGTCAAAAATTAAGAATAAAAACGGATTTAATAACTGTTTTGCAAGAAAAGTGATAATTGTTGATCCCAAAAGTTGTTTTTTTTTGCTTAAATAGTTTACTGTAGCAACTGAAAGAGGGAACCTTTAGGATGCCTTTAAAGTTTTTATTGCAATAATCAGACAGTATCAGTTCTAATTTCATCCCTGCCAGCAAATTGTTTGTTCAATTGATCTATTTTCCTCCTAAATTCTCCAGTTCTGACTAAATTTTCTTGCAAATTGTGTTATTAGTGAAAACGTGTGTTGAGCAGTAAACAAGAATAACGTTAAAACATAGAACATTTCTACAGAAAAACTTGAAAATTATGTTGCAGAAGCAACAGAGAGATATTCATCAGTTATGAAGAAGATTTTGTTGAATTTGAGCCAAAATCAAATAAACTTTCAAGAAAAATTCATCCCATTTTTAGTCAAGTTTAGCAGTTAACTGTTCAGTTTTCATCAATGATCTGAAATTCATTCTTATTAACGTGAAAGAAGTTGTAGTTTTTGGGTTTCATTTTTTGGGTTTCAATTTTGGGTTAATCATTGAGAAAAAACTGAGGAGGAGTTAAATATTGCTCTTATTGTTCAATTGAATTGAGCGTCTCATTTCAATTCTCCCCGAATTGGACAGAAATCAGTTAATCACCCAAATAAAAGGTTGAAAATGGAAAATTTTGGATAGATTTCATTAATTTTTTTTTTACTTTCTCAAAAATTGCGATTAATTTCACTAATTTCCCGAAAAATCGGAAGTTTCTAAATTGATTTAGCTAATATGAGCTTTCTTGTTTATGTTGAAAGCTTTATATAACCCGCTTTTTAGCTCAAATTATGCTACAAGTTATCGTATTTCAATATTTTGGATGAAAATTTTAGAAAAATCCAAAATTTTATTCAAATTTTTGTACCATTGTCTCAACATGATGCCGTTTAAAATAAATTTTGAGCTCAATTATAAACTCTGTACGTACGTTTGTTGTTTCAATTAGATCAGAAGCAACAAAAAAATTAACCAAAATTATGAGATTTCTGCAATTTTTACCAAACATTTAAATTTTTGCAATTTTTCCCAAAAGTTTGAATTTTTTTAAAGTTTCAGTAGTTTTGAAGCCATTATGAGCTTTGCCTTTGAAAATTCAGAACTTTATATAACCTGCTTCTCAGCTAACATTGTGGTAATTTTTATCATATTTTAATGTACTGATTGTAAATTGTGGAAAAATCCATACTTTTGCAATATTTTTTTCCAAAAAATTTATAGTTTTCGCAATTTTTTCATCCAAATACTTTGACTTTTTCGAAGTTTCAGTAGTTTTGAGCATAATTTCAGGTAGATAGAAAGTAGGATTATCCAAGAAATTAGGTAATAGGTCGAATTATAACAAATTTTATCGTGTTTTGAAGTTTTTTCGAAAAAATTTGGATAAAAAATCTCCTTTTTGCCCAAAAACTCTTATCAGTTCCTTACCATGTATCAAAAAATTAATTACATAATCCTAATTCCGCAACCTACACGTAATTAACCAGTAATATTCAACAGTTAGATATTGCGCGCCGAAATTTTTGCGAAAAATTTAGACATTTCCACACAAAATCCAAAAAAAATCGTTTTTCTTACCATTATCTTACCATCACACAAACCATAAAACCTTACCATTGATATTCCATATCCTAATACATTGTAGACTCTATACCCAATGTTAATACATAGCTGGAAGACCGGATGCTCTGTTCCCCATCTTAAAACATAGGGGTCTTCCTCCTCCCCCCACTCTTGCTCACCTATCTACTACTTAATGCATTAAAAGAGAACTTATACTTTGAGCATATCTAACCTTATCTTCTAATTTTATTTGTAGGTGTTGATCCGGTGACAAGGCTGAACTTTGCCAAGCTGATCAGAAAAGCTAAGAGCCAGGGATCTACAGTTGTCATCAGTTCACATACAATGGAAGGTTAGAAAATATCTCTGTTTAATAAGATGGGCTTTTTCCGATGAAATTTAAAGTGGATAGTTTTCATGGACAACGGTGTTTTCAACGCATACTCATAGAGAATATAAATGAGCGGTTACTATTTTGGTAAACACACTTTTTCAATCTCTTTTCTGTTTGCGATTCCACTAGAGAGCTTGCGAGCGTTAGTTTATTAGTATAAACCTTCTTTTTTCTACCCTAGCTCGCAATTAAAAGTATTCACTTATTTGGTGGCTTTTTTGCTATAATCACCATCTGTATAATTGAAAATTTCATAGCATCTGTTCTCTATTTGATTTGTGGCTTGAGATTTGCTAAGCTTCCCTGGATGAGTGGTTAGTGTGCGAGACTCATAGTCTCTAGGACACATCGAGTCAGCGACGTAGCCCATTTTTTTAATTCGAGACTTCTTTCGACTTTTTCTTATTGCCTTTTATAGAGCTGCTTTTAGTCGTGTTCTCCCTAGTATTAGCGAGCTCAGCTTTGCCTTTGTATTGATTTTTTGAAGTTTTAGGATATTTTAGCTCAACTTTATACGGTTTTCATTTTAAAGCAAGCTTGGACAATTGCTGTGCAAATATTTCTACATTTGGCGACCAAAGAATTCAATGCATTTATTGGTTTTGTGATTTGATTGAAATGACATGCAAAAATAAAGTGATGGTAGCTTGAATAAGGGTAAAACAGTTGTCAACTGAGATAACCACTGCTTGCCGTGAAATCCTCCTCTTTCACGGTAAATAATTCGAAATATTGAAAGGTTTAGATTTTCTTTTCTCGAAATTTTATTAAAGAATCTGAATCCCGACTAAAAAGACTTGAATATGATAACATACCGGAGCGTTCTACGATGGACCTGAAATCTTGTGGGAAAGACCCAACCTATGATGTTATTTCTGCAGTCTTTAGAACTACAAGAGAATCCCGTTGCTGTGCAGCTATGGCAGAGTTTTGAGACCGGTCGGCTTCAAAATCGAACATTTTCAAGGGCACCTATTTCTTCCAAATTCGGAAGCTGAGATTATTTTAAAAAACAAGGCAGTGTTTTTTCTATATCCTTGCGTTCATTGCTTTTTTCCAGCTGCAGTTGGCTATGCTTTCATTGTCTAAGTTTTTTTGTTCGAGGATTTGAGTGAAAAATGCTTTGCCAAATTCATTATGAGTAGCGAACGGAGTGACGATTTTTAAAAAAAGTCTTGGTGATTTGTTTTATTTCTTTTTCAGGGAAATGTAGAAATTTATTCACCAAAAACGTGATCGATTTCTAGTTTCGAAGAGGGAATTATTCACATTTCCCAGCAAAAAAAAATTTGGTCTAATTGATCCAGTTTTCTCAAATTGGGTTTATTTTATGAAAAAATATGTTTTAGAAAATTCAAGAGGTTCAAGGTTATCTATTTTTCCCTTCGGAAGCTGGGATTTTTTCAATTACCTTGCGTTCATTACTCTTCCAACTGTCAGTTGACAATGTTTAAATCTGAAGGCCCTGCCGTTGGATCAGAGATGATTTTCCTTAGGTTGTTCATTCTCTTGTCCTTTTCCTTTTTTTTGCTTGTCTTTGATGTTTGAGAAGTCCAACTTCGTTTTCTGTGTCAAAAAACTGTCTATCGTGAAATTGTCTTGAAAGTCTATTTTTCTATTGTCTCAAGCTTATATGCTTTGCTAATTTTCTGTGAGAAAATTTGTGAATGAAATATTTTGTTCTCCTTTGATCAAACTTTGTTTTTCAAATCAATTCTTAGTTTTTTAATCATTTAGTTTTTTCTCTTGTTAACAGTCTTGAACGTAGTAATACTCTTTTATAGTTGATGATTTTTCTGCGTTTTCAGTTTTGTGATCATTTGTTCACGCTATAGTTTGCTTTTTCGCGGTTTCACATTGGTTTATTTTTAAGTTCACCTCATTTCCGGGTAAAAATCATTAAAAATGTGATTGGCTTCTATTTGTGAGAGTGTATCTTAATTTTCGGATTTCTTAGCGGAATAATAAACAAACTTACATATCCAGTTTTTCCAAATGGGTTATTTTTATCAAAAAAAGTGTTAATCATAAATTGTTTTTCAAATTCAAAGAGAAAGGGCTCTGAGGCCATATAATTTTTTCTTTGAACTTCGAAAGCAATTCAAGTGTTTTCTGTTTCCTTTCGTTCATGACTCTTGCGTTATGTCACTTCATGGTACTTGCATTATGTGATGAATACAGTGCTGATTTAAATTATCCGGACAAAACGAACCAAACTTGAATTTTCAAACACGTTTTTCTCAAATTGGGTTGAGATTGGACAAAAAGTGAAGAGAACAAAAATTGCTTAGAAATTCACCAGAATTAAAATAGTGCAATTCTCTCTGCGAAACTCTCAACCAAAGTTTTACCCCAAAAATGGGTCAGTTTGGTTTTTTTCAATTAATCAAGAATTACGCTGAAACTACTTTCTTAATTAATGAGAAATATTTATCTTAAGAAGCCACTTACACAGCCCAACAAAGTTCTAGAAGGGTTAAATCTCCAAAAATTTGAGTAAATTGTTTAAAATCTGTTTTTAAGCAAAAGTTTTTGGTTTTCTATTGTAGAAATCACGTTTCTTGACTATCACGCTAAAAAAATTTTTCTTATACAGGTTTTTTGGAGATTCAACCTTTCTACAACTTTGTTGGGCTGTGTAAGTGGCTTCTTGTGATATATTTTTGTCATCAATTAACAATCTAGTTTCAGCGTAATTCTTGATTAGTGGAAAAAAGCCAAAATGACCCATTTTGGGGTAAAATTTTGGTTGCGAATTTCGGAGAAATAATTGCACCATATTAATTCTGATGAAATTCTAAGCAACTTTTGTTCTCTTCACTTTTTGTCTAATCTTAACGCAATTTGAGAAAAACGTGTGTTCAAAGTTTAAGTTATGTTCATTTTGTCCGCATAATCTAAATCAGCACTGTAAATTGGCAAGTCATTGACACTCAATAAAACAGGAAATGATAATAATTTTATGATTTTGTGCGCTTTGCTTTATAGAAAATGTCGTTAGAGCTGCAAGAAAGAATTGCTTCTCATAATGAAAGAGGTCTTTGAATAATTTTAGTAAATACAAGAAAACGAAAATTATTGCTGTTTTGTGTTCTGAGGTTCGCTTTTATTTTTGGAGTAAACATGAGGCAAATGAAAAGGGGAATTTATAATGAGGATCGCAAATGAATAATTCATGCTGATATCAATTTAGCCATTGCATGCCATTTGATGTCGACATATCAACAATCAGAAACCATTTTAAGACGGCTCAATACGCATAGGTCTCAAAACGTATAATTTTTCAATTTTACTTGTACTTTTCGAAGTCATTGCAGGTCGGGGTGGGGATGATAACTTTTTTCAAGGATTTTTCCACAACTTTTTTATCATTAGCTATAATTAGTAAAACCTCTTCGTAATGGGATTGTACCGAAAGAGATATATGCTGTATGAGACGTCATTTACTTATATCACAGCACAAAAAGGACTTTTTTACTGCTCGCAGCCATGTGTGTACGTTACGTCATCAATCATCAGTTAAAGAGTTTGTAAACCAATGTAGAACAAATTTAATCAACTCAGATATGTTTCCGTTGAAAATTAGGTCAAGTTGCCACTCAAATATGCTCCCCGGTTGGATTGCTTTGATGGTTACTTCGTTTTAGTTCCTTGTACTTTTCATTTACATGTAATTTATTTTTTTGTCTAGACAATGCATGTGATTCTGAAGGTTATTGCGTTAGTTCCTATTTTTAGTGCATTTTTACTAGTAAGCTCTAGTTTTTAGTGTTCTAACTGTACTAGAATGTGTACTGCATTTAACATGTTGCAACAAGTGAACGCTGTATCAGTTTGCATCTCCAGTTGATCCAGAGTTAGAATATCAGTATTTTAATGTTTCACCACCAAAATGACGCTGAAGGTGCCTGTCTAACTTTTAATTCCATTCCACTATCTACACGCAATTGTTTCCTTCGAAAACTTACCCGCTTAAATTATATCTGAATGCATGAATAGTTTTGACTGCAAATGGCGCATCTTAAAATTGATAAATTGAGGGGAAAAAATGATTCCTTTTAATGCCTCTTTTAGGACCAGTCCGCCTTCTCTCCAAGCTCACTCGCATATTTTTTGTGTTCAATTTCTACTTTGAGTAACATACTGCTTATTTGGTGAGAATACATAAAGAATACAGATTTTCAAATAATTACATGCGAAATTAGTATAATTGCCTGGGTTGGGACCTGTCTACTATCACAGTAACTTTTTCTAGTGGGGAGTACGAATGGCTCAGAATCTGCAGCTTTGTTGTTCGAGGCCCGTAGTTGGCTAGCTTTTTTGGTCATCAAAGCTTTTTTTCCAGCATTTTAGAAGATCTTTTGAAGAGCCGTATTTTGCTTGTAATCGCGATGTGCCGCTTGTTTTTTATGCGCTTGAATGGAAAGCGGTTATCTGTGCAACCCCCTGTTGCAAGGTTTTTTGAATGCTTTTCAAGTGATTTCTGTTTAAATTTGCTGCAAATTCATTAATTGCATAGATTGTGTCTATCATAAGTTGTTCTTTACACTCGCGATCAGCGTAATGTATTACTACGAACCTACTGTATTTTGTTACATAACTCGCAAATAAAAGTGTTCTATGAACGTGTCGCTTATATGGAAATTTGCTGGTAGCATTGGAAATTGTATAGCATCTGTTCTCTGTTTTATTTGTGGCTAGTGGTCGTCATCAATGAGGCGTCCGTGGCTGAGATGTTAGTGTGTGAGATTCTTAGTAGGTATCCGATATACGAGACGTATCCGATTTTTAAAATTCGATGCTTTTTTTTCTTTTTATTATTGCATTTTATTGAGCTGCTTTTTGTCGTGTTCTGGCTAGTGTTTGCGCAGCGGAGCTTCACCTCAGTGGTAATGTTTATAACTTTTTTACTTTGAAATTCGAACGTTTTTTCAGAAAAATCAAGTCAAGTTTTTTTTTCTGTATCCTTGCGCTCCTCTTTTCCAACTGTTTGTTGACTATGCTTTTTCTATTGTTGACTTTTTGAAACTTTGTGCTATTTTTTCAGCATTTGTGTGTATCGAAAACTTCGCCTTTGGGCCTACTTTAGAATCCCCGTGCATGTATTATGTTTCACATATTTTTTTAAATAAAATTTGTATTTGAGAAACCGTCGCATCATTATTTATTTCATTCAAAATCAAAGTTTCAACATCTTGAGCTGAAATTAGTAGCCTTTAATCTGATAGCATAAACTAGCCGAAGGGGTTCAAGCGGGAAGTGAAACAATTTTGCTTTTGTTAAACAGGAGATACAAAGTTAGCCGAATGAAATGATCCTGTATACTTCTCGTCTGGAACTTTTATAAATAATTCGTTCAATTTTCTAATTCGCAGCCGCGACACAATCTTTTATCTTTGCATTGATTCGGCTTAGTCGAAATTGGCATAAAAATGTAGCCAATAATTTTATTTCCTTAAGTCAGCCTTTAGTTTGTTTCTATTTCATGGTTTGAACATAGAATACACAAAATAAGGGTTCTTTTCTATTATACGGCCCAAAAAAACAGAAACTCAATAAACAATTTGATAATTTTAGCCCGTTTAACGTTAGGAATTTTGGGCGGTATAATTAAAAAGAGGAAATTTCAAAAAGGAGATTCATAAGTAGATCCGAAGTTGGATTCATAAGTTTCTACCGAATTAATGGAAAAAGTTGTGGGTGTGATTATAGAATGTGAGGCATCGGCTGACACAATCTGCATAATGAATGCAGGCACTCAATTCTGTGAAGATTCGCCTCTAAATCTGAAGGCGCAACATGGCAAATTCTACACAGTTACAGTGAAGGTCCTGGACAAGACTGCCCAAGCTGCAGAAAATGGTGGAACAGCCGACGCCAATTTAATTGCTGACCAAGCCGACTCGACAAATAATGAAGTTCATGTAGACGAAAATGATTTCAACCGACTTTTCCCCCATTCTCAACTGCAATACACCTTTTCAGCCGGATTGCACAAACACATGTTTTTCAACATACCAAAAGAGTCTGTTCAGCTAAGTGAGCTCTTCGCCCAATTGGATGGTTTGAAAAAGGAGAATAAGCTGGCAGAGTGTATCGTAAACACAGCTTCTCTGGAGCAAATATTTATGCAGATTGCCCTTCAAGCCGAATACAGTATCAAAGCCGATACACCCTTTTCCATGCCGCAAGTTGTCTAAAACTGGAAAAAAACTCAAATTCGTGAATAAATATAAACCTGTTCAAGTTGAACTTGAGCATTTATTTTTATACTTGAGCTTTTTGTCATCTATTTTGGTTGCAGTTATCCAATTCGAATTGACTCTTTCACTCTTAGGCTTTGGAATATGACTTAGTTTGAGCTAAATGATATCATTAAAAGCATCTGTAAGTTTGAAGCTGTACCTTCTTTATTTCTCTTTATTCAACTCGGATGAATAACATTGTTTGTATTGATTTGGTTAATTTCATTTTTGTTTTGTGAAATATAATAGGCCCAATGTCATAAAAAACCATTTGAGGCTGATATTTCTGGTAAATAATTGTTATAATTATTTAATTGAATCACGTCTTTTGCTAGCATTTTATACCATTGTATACCATTTTCTCTACATATTGACTTCGATTTTGTGAGAAAGGCATTTAGCCAATAGAAACGCTTAGCGATTTTGATTGGTTCAAATTTTTCAAGCATTCGGTCTCAAGCACGAGAACCCCCCCCCCCCCCCCCCCCCCTCCTCCTCAATAAGTAGACAGGGAGTTTTCTTTCTGCTTTCATAATTACGTTTGTGTTTCTTAACTCGATTCTGATTGAGTTTTTTTTGATTTTGACTGACCTGTCTACTTTTCTACTTTCAGCCTAATATTATAACTAAGTCTAATTGAATCAGTTGCGAATGCGTTTTTTTTTTCAATTGTGCTCCACGTTTTAAGTTTAATCATTCTTTTTTGGGATCAACCAAACAATCTCCCCCCCCCCCCCCCTCCTAAGTAGTGACCAACCGTAGCATTTCCCCCTAGCCACATATTAAATTTCGAACAAACGCGCACATAAAACTGGTTGTCACAATTTTAATGTGGAATTGCATTTGAATGCTGTTAATAACCTAAACTATCGTTTTTTAATCAATTTTCTCTAGATAAACTTTTTTCTATAAATCTAAGGTGTTCTCGAAAGTATTTCCTGAAAAATCTATATTCCATCCCCCCCCCCTAAACCAATTTGGGGGCGGCGGGGGAATTGTACGGTTGATGTCCTTTTAGTTAATATATGATGGATGTAAGAATTTATACTAATATCACATTCATTAAGGTTCTTCCATTTTTTGTTCCGACTTTCGAAGAAATGCGGAATTTTTTTCTGATCAATTTCTCGTTTCTATGCGAATGGAGCATTTATGAAATTGATGGTTTTTTTTTCTTTAAAATCACTGTGAAATTATGGCTGTTTTGCTGCTTTGAGTGAATATTAGTTTTGAGTGAATATTAGTATATAGTTCCAATTATACTTAATTTAACAAAATCTTCTATCCCTAGGTGCTCTCTTGTTTTGATAAGATCGAATATTCTATCCATGAGTAATTTCTTCATACAACATAGTGATAGCAAATTTGCAGAAACTCGAATATTTTATCCTCTTTTTTCTTAACCATGTCATAGCTTTCAATTGAGTTTGTGCTATCATAGTTAGGAAGCCAAAAAGCAGGAGACTTGAAATTCTTTTTTGTATTTGATGTTCTATTTAACTTGCTGTTCTATTTAAAAGTGTTAACTTTCGAAACTATGTGAGTGAATAGTTTTGTAAAATTGTTTAGTTTTAGTGCTTGTTGTCAATTTAAAAACAAAATTAGAATAATAATTTCTTGCCTGAAATAAAATGTCTTTTATCTTTTTAGAATTTAGACCCATGTGTCTGCGTAGCAGTAAGCGGGTTTAGGGTGGACGCCTCCTCCCGCCTCAGGGATATTCAACCCACTTACCACCCAAAGGGTTCCCCTTTCATAATATCATACTACCAATTTGGCCCCAATTTGTACTAATTTTGAAGGGGGAGCGCACCAAAAAACTCGATTATTGGTCAAAACCTGAAGTGGTCGTTTGGGAGGGTAACGGGCGTAGCGTTTTGAAACGCAACAAAAAATTGTTTCAATTTTTTTGACCTACGGAGACAAATTTTAGGAGCGGTTGGCCGAAAATGGATGTAAAATAGTACCAAAGGGAAGAACCTGAGGGGCCAACTTGAGAGCGGATTAGGGTGAGGGTAAGTGTGGCGTCTTAGCCACCCTCCCCATTTGTATGAAGCTATGTAAAATACAAAGGGATCAATTTAGTTTCTGGTATCTTACACATGGTACATGGATGGACTTAGAATCAAAGACTAAAATCACGACCCTTAGTCATCTTGCAATGTAAATAAAAAAGTATGATGTGAATGAAATAAAATGTCATGGCAAAAAGCGAATGGAGATATCAACTTAAATCTTATAAAATTTGACAGATAGTCCTACGTAAATTAGCACCAACGTTAGCAGCGAATATACATGTCGTCAAGGACCATGGAAACCAAAATGAACAGTCACTTGACCTTTATAGCATAAACGAATAATCTTTTTCTATTATAGCCCAGGGCAATGATGACTTTCAGATGGGTCAGAAATGATTCAAAAAGAAGCTTAACCTGAAAATTCGGAACGACGAACTTTTTGACTAAAAAAATAAACAGCTCGAGAAAAAATGGAGCCTTAATATATTTGATAGTCAGAACACTTATTCTCAAATAGGACTTTGAAGAGCAATAAATAGCCTAATTTTTTTGATCTGTTACGTCACTTGTTGCAGTTTTTGTTTGCTACTCATTCGTTGGTGCAAACAATCCGGGTTCATCTTAGACTTAAAATAAAAAATTAACTATTTGACATTTGCCGTTAGGGAGGAAAAAATTGTCACCAACTAATCGAGACCAGTAAAAGGGCAGTCACATCAATCAGAATTTTGACTTGATGCGAGCAGCATTGTTCCATATTTCTGAAAATTTGTGCTGGTTTTATAGAACCTTTTTGATTTTTAATTAGTCTTTTTGAAAAAAAAAAACGTATTAATGTGTACGCGCTTTTTTAATCAGCGCATATATCGTTCCTATTTGAAATGAGGCAATATATGTGTTAATATTGTTGTTTTACTAAACGTTAAAGTTATTTTTTGTTATTATCATAGTAAGTGAGGAAATTTTTTCGAAAAATTCATTATTTTAATTGAAACATTTTTGAGTGTTTAAGTAATTTTTTCAAAATCAGTTTGAAAGATGATGAAGGGCATTAAGAATATTGAGTGTTTTACCCTGATAGCATCCATGTTGTTAATTTAAAAAAAAATTGGTTAATTTAATAAGTAATTGTGGATTTTGGGTTCAATGGAGAAAACAGATTGTGGAAAGTTCTTCCGTATACATAGTTTCGTCCAAATTTTTTTTTTTATAGAAAACAGGTTTTTTGAAACTGCATGGGATTTGTTTCGTTTTGGAGACTCTTATAATAAATATTAGTTTCTCTCAAGAGCTACTAATTTGAGTTCCAAAAAGTGAATTTGTACCAATAGACAGACGGCGTACGCGTCCAATAGTACCAATAGAAAAAAGTTGTACCAATAGAAAAAATTTGTACCAATATGAAGACTGAGTACAAAGACTGAATCTTCGAAAAGATCTGTGGGGTAAATTTCGACCCATAATTTTAGATTTTTTATTTTCCACGTCCAAATCCCTTATAAAAATTATGGCGTTAGGAAAAACATTGTTTTGACTTCTCATTAGTTTTTCGAACATTTTTGATTTTTATCGATTCTGATTAAGTGTTTAATTGAGGCAACAGGTTGTGGGACACGTGCCTGCTTAAGCAGCTACGCTTTAAAATTGGTTAGAAAAATGTAACATCCTTGAGAAACTTCCCCTTTCTGAGAAAGTTTAATTTTTTCTAACTTTGTGGTTTTGGTTGAACCCCGTTTTTGAGTTTTGGAAAATTCTCTTCGATAAAAAACAGGTATTTTGAAATTGAATGGGTTTGAGACGTTTCTAAAAAGTAATAATTTTTACTACTAGTTCAATTTCCAAAAAAGTGTTGTCAAGGGAAAGACCGCCCTGACTCCTGTGAGCCTACAAAAACGCTTTGTTTTTTCAGGGTACCCCGCTTTACAGACACTTCGTAGGAGTCTGTGAGGGGAACTTTTGAACCATGTTTTTTTGCTTTTTGTTTCGTTTTTTGAAAACTAAACTCCCAAATCTTAGATTTTTAGTTTATTTGATAAAATAAGATTTGGAAACTCCCCTGAAATGACTATTAAGCATTTGTTTTTTTTGCGGAAAAATTATGGCCTTCGGAAAGTCAAAGTTTTGATTTTCTAGCCATTTTCTTAAAAATTTTTGATTTTCTCGGAAAATACCGGCTCAATTTGAGATATTGTTTTTAATGAAAAGATCAGGTTCTGGGAAGCTCCCTTGCATTAGCGGCTAAGCTCTTTTTTTAAAAAAATTAACAGCGCTCGGAAAAACAAACTTATAATTTTTTGACCACTTTTTTACAGTGTTTGAAGACACTTTTTTCTACAGTGTCTACAGTGATTTTTTTCTCGTAAACAAATTTTTTTAAAAAAACTTTCAAATTGAATTGTTATTGAGTCTTATCCACGTGCCAATTTTTTTGCACTTGGCCTGTAGGTAACGTCGTTGCCTATGCAACCGAAGTTCCGGGGTCCAAATCCCTGCCGGACCTTTTTTTCCAGCATGTATGAAATTCAAAGTTTTTTGCAGTAAAAAGTTTTGTAGGCCTAATTGGGTTCCATTGATAAAATAGGATTTGGAATTTGGAAGCTGCCATATTGAGATATTGATTCTAATGAAAAAAACTGGTTACGCGAAGCTCCCTTGCATTAACAGCCACTCACAAAAAAATTTTACGCAAACAGATATCGCCCTCGGAAAACTTTTGATTTTTGACCGTTTTTTCAATCTTCTGATTTTTCTCAAAAAACATGCTCACTTATATCAGATTTTGGGTTCAATCTAAATAACGGGTTGTGTAACGCTCTCCTGCATATGCCGCTACTGCCAATTTTTTAAAACAAAAATTATGGCTTTCGGGAAAGTCATAATTTTGATTTTTTGCTTTTATTTTCTCTCACAAACTACTTTGCCAAATCTGAGCTTTTGGGATCAATGGAGAAAAAGGGCTGTGAAGACTCTACAGTTGCAGTGTTGCCCAATTTTTTAAACAAAAGAGTATTGTCCTCGTAAAAGTGATAACTGCGATTTTTTGACGTTTTTCTTTTGAAAATTTTACTATAAAAAGTTTCCTAGAGGTTAGGCTAGATAAATGTTATGAGCTTCGGAATACTGCAAGTTTCTCAAAAATTCAGTAAAAATTTTGGACAACAAACAAAATTTTTCTTAGACATTCAACTAAGGTTTTGGGTGAAGTCAATTTTTTGTTTTTGAAATTATCCAATTCATTCCAAATCACTACAACCATTTCAAAAGTTTTCACAAGTAGGTCCAGAAATTTATCGTTCTCGGAAAAGCCAATTTTTTTTTATCAAAACTACTCTCCTAAACCTGAAGTTTTGGTACTACTAGAAAGAAGAGGTAATGTGAAGCTTCCCAGCAAAAAGGACATGCACAGAGATTTTCCATAAAAAGTAATTGGGCTCGGAAAATAAATTATTTGAGTTTTTGAT